CTTTTTGACTCCTGCACAGGGGACCGTCCCACTTTGCGCTTCTTATCCTATTAATTTCCAGTATGTCACTCCAGAATTGGGGGCTGGTAATCTGGCACACCTTTCTGCCAACTTGCCCCCACTGTAGTTCAGATACCCCCCAGTGACATGCCTCTACATAGTACTGGGACAGTCAGGACGTGTGGCGTGCAGAAGATGTCCGATAAGCACAAGAAACGGACCATGCCTAGAAAACTTGCTCCTTTGAAACCAGCCCCCCAGCTTTCTCCCCTCTCCTCTTGTACAATGGGAAACGTAAGTAACCCTACTGTTATAACGGACCAGCCAATATCCTTAAATGTTACACAGAATTTTCCATTAGATAAAGCCTATGAAAATGCTCCTCACCTGACTGCCACCACACAGAGATTGGTCACATCTCCCTCCCAGGATCTTGTCATACAGTTAGTACCTGGAACACAGGCCGTGGAAAATGCCTCAAGTCCCTATTTCGGAAAGACGACACAGAGGTCAGAATGTGACTTTTTGCAAACCATGAAGGACATCACTCCTTTGCACTATAGTGTTCAAAATGGTCAAAGGACTGTTTGTTCTCCTCTGACATCAGCAGCAGCAGACAGTTCTCAGTTTGTACTGGTTCAGACCATTTCACCTACTGGAGTTCCTCAGTTCCTACTTTTGCCCCAAGACCCACTCATTCTGAACCAACCTGCTCCACTTCATGCTGAAGGTGCAGCAGGGAGTTTATCCCAGCAGACTGCCTTTTCTGACATTCCTGCTGGCTCCATAGTACTAAAGAACACAGAGAGGACTGAGGTGCCTTTAAACACCACAACACCATCCACAGAAGATGGAGAAAGAAAGGAAGAGGATGAGGAAATGACTGGAGACAGATGGGAAGAGGAAATGGCTGGTGCTCTGTTTGGTAGTCCTCTCCTGGCACTCTCAGAGTCCTCTTGCAGCCCCGACTCCAGTTTGACCAGCATTGATGCAAGCACAGACAGTGATGCTGAAGCCTCTGTGAAAGTGAAGACAGATACTGGAGAGTGTCTTGCTGTCCAGTCGGGCTCTGGCAGTCAGGAAGCATTAGGAGTGCACAAACACAGCACTGGAGATGGGAAAGAGCAACAGTCCGGTGGGGGGGAGAAACAGAACGGTGGGAATGAGGATGTTGGAAGGGCTGAGGAGAGGGAGAGTGGGGGAGATGGAGAGCGGGATGAAGATAAAGAAGGAGAGAAGAGCGGTGATGGAGAAGATGGCAGAAAAGGAGATGGGGGTGGAAGTGGTGATAAAGGAAGTGAAGAGAAGGATGGAGATGGAGAAAAAGATGGAGATGGTGAGCGGGATGAAGAAGAGGAGGATTTTGATGACCTCACGCAGGATGAAGATGAGGAGGAAGTGATGTCTTCGGCATCAGAGGAATCTGTGCTGTCTGTTCCAGAACTTCAGGTTTGTTTGTTTTTAGAAAATATATATAAAAAAAAAAAAACAGAAAAGAAATACAAGAAAATTAATCTGTTTATGATATTTAGGGGGATGTTAGGGGCATGCCGACCGGTTTTAAAAATCTGAAATTTTTTCATATTATGGCATAGGTTTTAGATTTCAATGTTAAAAGTTATAGCAGACTTTGAAATTTTGTATTATTGTCTAAATAAATTAAAATAATAATAAAGAACAAAACACTACTAGAAACTAAAGTCAATCATTTTGAGAGAATTTAGGCATCACAGCATTATAATTAGCAGTATGAAAATGTTCATTTTGAAATTTACAAGATTACGTTTAACTGTGTTATAAAATCTGATTGAGATTTAGATGATTGGAAAGATAATTGAAATGTAAATATAGATTAAATGACCAACTCAACTATTATATTATATACAGCTGATACCAATAAATAAATAAATAATCTGTAATGTTATCCGTTACGTGTATTTATTTTAAAGTGGTCATATAATGCCATTTTCATACAAGTTAATTTGAATCTTTAGGGTCAAAATGAAAAGTTTGTAATATACTTTAATTAAAAATTTTCATTAGTATTTTAAGAAAACACTCATTTTACCTGGTTAAAAACAGCCATGTTTTCAGCACCCCGTGTCGGCGCATATGCCTTAATGATAATGGGCTTCGCTCACTCCGCGGCCGCAAAGAAGTTCGACAATTAAAGCTTGAACAGGACGTTTCTGAATGGTTGGTTAAGAAAATGTCACTTTGATCTATCTTTGTGAACTGGCAGGGTAGATTAACTTAGTGAGATGTATGAATGCTATGTGTTTACTGATGTATACATACTCAGTTTGTAATAACACAATAACCATTGTGAACAACCACCGTTGATGGTTGAAAATGTAAAAAAAAAAACTTCTTCTTTAGGTGCAGTAGGGACATGAATAGTTGTTACTGATTCTTTTTTTCAGGAGCAACTACTTAGCAAAACCAGCTTTATACTGATCCTTGTTTATAAAGCAGTCTGGTGAGAAAAGATTCACAAATTGCTAAAACATGAACGCATTGATGTTGCTCATGGGGAATATTCCCTTCGAAAACAAAACTCAGCCACTGTGTCTTCAGCATTTTGGATTTAGGAACATCAAAATGACTGTGTTCGTTATTACACCCAAGAACAGAACACCGCATATGATGGTTGTGTACAGGCACTGCCAACGCACATTTCAGTACAATCAACTTGATAGTGCATGTACCATTATATGACCCATTTAACACGTTTTATTAAATTATTCCTGCTTTCTTCCCTTGGCAGGAGACAATGGAAAAGTTGACCTGGTTGGCATCAGAGAGGAGACTATGCAGAGAGGGAGACTCTGAGGAGGACAATTCGCCCACGTCCCCAACATCCCCCACCTCCCCAAACTCTCAAAACTCCCCTGCTTCCCAGAATTCGCAGGAGGAGAACTCCGAGGATGAGGATGATGGGGCGATAAAGGGTGATGAGATGGAAGCAGGGGAGGGAGAATGCGCAAAGCTTCCTGAGGGAGATGCGCCACTGGGCGACGACCCCCCACAGATCACTGGGAGGGGAGGTGGCCGTGGAAGAGGTCAGTACAATTGTTAACACCTGATTATGTTGTTTTGAGTGATGTCAAGTTAAAATGAGCCTACTGTCCTGGTTGGTTTTTCAATATGAAATACTTTTACAGGCCGCGGTCGCCCACCCCCTCGAAGTCTGAAGCGTAGTCGACGTCAGGAAAGAGGCAGTAAAGATGCCGCAAAGCTGCTGCTACTGTATGATGACCACATTTTGGACAACGATCCATTGAGAGAGAGCAAAGACATGGCTTTTGCCCAGGCATATCTCAACAGGGTAAGACCACTTGTATCTTTGACACACTAGTATCTCCTTTACGCCAATGATTAGAGAAACACTCATTTCTCTGTTTTCTTGTGCTGTTATAGGTGCGTGAGGTCTTACAAGACATACCTGGTAAGGTGGAAGAGTTTTTAGGACTGCTTTATGAGTTTGACCAGGCAGGAGAGTGCCGCAGTGTTGTAGAGCTGTTCTCCCAGCTGAAACTTCTCCTCAAAGATTGGCCTGAGCTCCTCAAGGACTTTGCTGCTTTCCTTTTACCTGAACAAGCACTGGAGTGTGGACTGGTACTTACAATCATTTTATAGACAAAAAAAGATTTTTCCAGGCAAATAACTCTTTGATCAGTGTCAGTGCTAAGGAGATCAACTTTATTTGTATCTCCCATCCTCTCCCTCCCATCCCCAGTTTGAGGAGCAGCAGGCCTTTGAGAGGAGTCGTCGGTTCCTGCGTCAGTTGGAGATCAGCTTTGGAGAGAATCCTTCTCATTACCAGAAGATAGTGAGAGCTCTGCAGAGTGGAAGTCCTCTCAGTCCTGCTGGTGTTGAAGAGGTATTGATAGATGGATTGATTAATAAATTGAAAGGTTTTCTGCAGTCAGTAATATATATATATATATATATATATATATTTAGCAAGGATGGATATTGTTGCAGTGTGTGTAGACAAGTTGTTTTAAAGACAATAAATTATGGTGACTCATATCTTGCCCTCGGAATCATCAGTACAATGGTGGTTAATGAAGAGAGTGTGTTGTGTGCCTCAAAATATTAGATTCTGACAGTATGAAGCTGAACAAGTTAAGATTCCGCTTAGAGACTTAACATCACAAACACAAGGAGAAGCAAGATGAAGTTGATTGATTGCAGTACAGTATTAATTACAGTTATATTTTTTAAAAAATCCAATATGATTTTTCAAGTAAGGTCATGTCTAAGAGTCTTTGTGTGGGTGCATGTAGGTAGGATGGGCTTGAAAATATTTTTCTTTACAGAAGGGGAGGCCTGGCAGAAAAAGTTTGGGAACCACTGACTCTTTATTGTCCAGATTTGTCTTCTAAAATCCCTTTATTTCTGCTTTTGTAACTCAGCTCAAAGCACAAATGGTCACCCTTCTTAAGGGCCACACACACCTACAGGGAGAATTCTGGATGTTTTTTGATGAGATGCGTCCACCTCCAGCACGTCCTGGTCAGTTTGAAGAGGCAGTTTGGCCAGAGGACATGGGCACTGGGACAGATGGAGAAGCAGGGATGACTGTGGATTCTAGAGGAGGAGTATGGGGCGGGTTTGAGGAGGTCACACTCCCTGATCTAGAGGAGGATGAAGAGTCACACAAGGTTCGACAGATCAGCAGCAGGAGCAAGAGGAGGAAAGAAATGCACACTTATGGCAACTACAAGGTGTCTTCATGTTCTACATCCCAGTTAATTCACAGTTGTTTTTCCCATTTTTGTTTAGTTGTTAATCTTGTGTTTTTTTTCAGGACTGTGATTGGCCTGAGAAAGATTGCTCCTGTCCCTGTCATGACTCTAGCCTTGATGCCAAACATCGGAGGCATAAGAGAAAGGGATGCTTGCGTTGTCATAGCAACAAGGTGCTCGCTTTATTTGTATCTGTAACATATCTTAACTTTTTTGCAATTGCCACCTTTATTATTAAGGGGACCATTTTTCCTCATATTATATTTTCTCGCATTGAGTTATACAACTACGGTTGTTTTTTGGTCAACAGGCCACTAATGGCTCAAAGGTGCTGAAAAGTCGTGATTCTGTGTTTCCGTCTGCTGATGCGCAATCTGAAAGGGGAGGGGAAGAAAAGGAAGAGGAAAAAGGACAAGGGGAGGATGGAGAGGCAGAGAAAGAGGTTAAAGATGAGACTGGCAGTGGAGAAAACAGTCCACATCATGGTAAAGTCTTTTCAAATGCTTGTTTTTTCATTAATTTACGCAAGTTTTTAATGATTAAAATCAGCATCTTCATGTATTCCTACAGAGCCTCTAAAGATACTTTTTATTACTACATTTACTTGAATTATTACTTATAATTTACACTACTGTTCAAAATTTTGGGGTCAGTAAAAAATAATGATTTTATAAAGCAAGGATGCATTAAATTGATCACAAGTTACAGTAAAGACATTTATAAGGCTACAAAATAATTTAAATATTTTAAATAAACCTTTACAAACATCAAAAAATCATGGTTTTCACAAAAATAAGCAACACAACTGTTTTGAAAATTGATAAGAATTTATTCTTGACCACTAAATCATATTAGAATGATTTCTAATATAGGAGTAATTGCTGCTAAAAATATATATATTAAAACAATAATAAATAAAAGTTCTTGTATTTTTAACCAATAAATGCAGCCTTAGTGAGCATAATACACTTCTTTTAAAAAATATCTCAGTGAATAAAGTTTTGAATGGCACTGTGCATGTTTGTTGTACTTTTTATATTTGCTAATATTTTTTTTTTAATACAGGAGTGTTCATTCACATATTAGTTGGTATTGTTACAACTCTAAAATATGTAACTTAAATTACTCAATCTAAATTGTACTGACAGTTTAACTGAAACTACAAACAGCTCAAAAACTTTGTACCTGCTCCTGCAGAGGGTGATGGGCCTGTGTGGGAGGAAGGAGAGAGACCCCCTTCCCCCATCCCAGAGGAGCAAAAAATCCAGAACGAAGAAGGCAACGAGAAAAATGAAGAGGATCTCATGTCTCCACCGAAGCACTGTAGGAATGAAGATGATGAATTAGGAGAGAGAGACGCCACTCAACAGAGCACACTGAGCCCGGCCTTAGACACGCCTGTGTGTGCCAAAAACATCTCCCTTACTCCCAATGGAGAGAGGGTCATTCTCTGGACCAGGTAAGCACAGCCACAAATCATGTTCTATTTTTGAGCATCGTTTAATGGTGCTTGTGTTTTACGTGGCCCTCTTATCATGTGGTTCATAGAGAGGCTGATCGAGTGATCCTTACTGCCTGTCAGCAGCAAGGAGCCAATCAGAGCACCTTTCAGTCTGTGGCAGAGCAGCTTGGAAACAAAACAGCCAGTGAGGTACCAGGATTATAAAGTTACAGATCTATTTCCACTGCTCTGACTTTCGATTCTTGAGAAGCATTCCTTTCTGTGCCTTTTTCAACATCAATGTCTCTGCAGGTTTCAAGGAGATTTCGGGACCTGATGCGTCTCTTCCATACGTCAGCTTGTCAGGCCAGCTCAGAGGATGAGGCTGCTGAGCAGCAGTCTGCCACTGATGAAGAGCAGGACTGAGACTTTCCTTCATCCATATGAACTGTTGTTTTTGTGCAATGAAACAGCAATGCAGCTCTTCTAGTTGGAGCCTAGACATGCACAGAAACCCCATGTTGTGCACTAACACCAGCCAAAGGTGTATTTATATGAAGTATAAATCCATTAAATATGAAGATGTAATCCAACACATGCTAAACGCACAAAACCAACTCAACATTATTTTTGAAGAATAGTAGCAAAAAAACAGCTCAGCTTCTGATATGGCCTGATTATTGTTTTACCATTGATGGGCCTTCCTGACCACAAAATGAAACATTTGATTAGTCAAAAGAAAACAATTTTTCATTGTAAAGCACTAACCAGCAGATTCTCGCCAACATTGTTTATGACAGATTGACTGTATATTCTGTAAATATATGAACAAATGGGGGGGGCGGGACATGTACAGTATTTTTATATAAGGTTGGTTTGTTCTTTTTATTTTGCTTCAGTGTTTTGAGAAAGATGCACAAAGTTTTAGGAGAGCTGGGAGACATAATAAAATGATTATTTATACCAAGCTTTGTGTGAGACAGAATTATTACTGTATGAATATGTACACACTGACTTAAAGGATTATCAGGAACACCTGTTCAGTTTCTATTTCAATTTAATTTCAATTATCTATTCTACCAAACATGGCAGTTGCTGTACTGTATGTGTGTGTGTGTGTGTGTACATATATATGTTCAATTCATGTGTGACAATAATTCTTCATGCTTCCATCCAACCCTTCTTTCCCAATTTGAGCATAATGAATCTTGACATAGCCATCCTGGAATATGACCAAACAGCAACTATCTCTCTATGTGTGTTCATTCAAACTGCCCTTTTCAGAGAACGCGTTTCGTTAATCGAGATCAATGACCCTTTTCGCTTTCCATAGTTACCTAGCTGGTGTCATGTCTGCTTCCTTGCTGAACGCGTGCTAGCGATTATTGCTTACCTCTTTTTGCGGTACGAGCCTGAAATGTATGGCAGTGTTTTATTGAAAATTACACTGAATTAACGCATATTTAATATTGCTTAATCTGTTTTACAACTGCTTCACATTTTCGGATTCTGAGTTGTTCTGGAAATGGACAAAGAAAAGAGTACAGGGCTAAAATTCGCAGAGGAGCAGCTTCTGCGACACGGATGGGAAAAAGGTGAATTCAGAAGACATTTAGGGCTTCTTTGGCTATATCCTGTTTTATGATGTCTAATGTTTGGACTTTTGTGTTGTAGGTAAAGGACTGGGAAGATCAGAGAATGGCATCTCAGAGGCTATTAAAGTCAAAATTAAATATGGTAAAGGAGGGGTGAGTGAGAGATTTTATGCAATGTTTTTGTTTGTTTTTTGTTGTTGTTGATAATTACAATGATTAAAGCTCGTGGGTAGTTGACAATATGGGCATAAAGTTTATCATGAACTGGTTTATATACATATACATATATATATATATATATATATATATATATATATATATACACACAGAGAGAGACACACAAACAAACAGGTGAAACTCTGAAAATTAGAATATCGTGCAAATGTTCATTTATTTCTGTAATTCAACTTAAAAGGTGAAACTAATGTACATATAGACTCATTTTGCATAGTAGGGAAATGCTATCGAATCCCGATGCATCGATATATTTCCAGATATTTCAGTCCTTTATTTGTTATAATTTTGATGTTTATTGCTTCCAGCTTATGAAAACCCCAAATTCAAAATTAGAATATTATGAAAATGTTTTCGTAGATATAAGCTTCCCCTTTTAAGTTGAATTACTGAAAGAAATGGACTTTTCCACAATATTCAAATTTTTTGAGTTGGACCTGTATATATTGTTAACAATAATGATTATGGTGATCTATATCCTTACCATCTGGTTTATCATCCTAACCCACCCATTAGCTCTTGCAGTTTACAGTCCCTTTAATGCAAGTTTCTTAATATGAAATTAAATAATAATATTGTATAATGATAATTATACTGTATTTAGAATCTAAATATAATTACAGAAATTGTTGTCATAAACAGTTGTAGATTAAGTATAGCATATCTCTCTGCAGGTCACGTAAACTACCCTTTTGGTTTTAGGTTATCTTTTTTTATTCTCCAGCTGTTTTAGACCTTATACCTTTGTATTTCAATTTGATCATTTGTCTTCAGATGGGCCATAAGGAAGGTGAGCAGTTCAGTTTTCACTGGTGGGACCATGTTTTTAACAAAGCCTCATCCAGTCTGGTTGTGGAAGCAGCGCAGGTAAATAATATACAAAAAACTCAAAATAATATGTTAGCAGTGAATGAGGGCATGTTTTAGTCATCTGATGTTGTCATTGTTGGTTAAGACTGGTGTGGTGGTGACGAAGTCAACTGACAGCAGTGATGGATTGATCTCTAACAAGAAGCCACGCAAAGCTCAGCAAGCCAAGTCCATGCTCTATGGATGTTTTGTCAAGGTGCAAAACCATAAACGGCACACACAATCACTATATTTTCACAATACCATAAGCATTTAAGGAGCGATAATTGAGTATTTGTATTGTGTAATTGTTTTAAAGTCATCATTCTCCATTTTCAGTCAGCTACACTGCTGTCAGGTGAGCAGCCAGAAAAGACCTCTGATTCAGATGATAGCAGCAGTTCTGAAGATGAGGACCAGAAACTGGACCTTTCCACCACTACCAAGTATGAGCAGCCAAAATCATGATTTGTGACACATTCCTTAAAAATACTTTTGCAATTAATACTTTTAATTTCTGCATTCAGCTGGATCAATTGTCTTTGTTTTGTTTCTCTGTTTTAAGGCTGTCTGATGCAGATCTGCTAAAAGCTTGTGGAGGACGAACAGCACACAAGTAAGCTCTGATCTCACAAAGTTAACACTGATTCATCCAAATCCACATTATCCTTACAATAATGTGTTAGTCAAACCAATATACATACATTTACACAATACAAGAACTTGTAGCATTGACCCATTTCATATCACAACTGAGCAGGACACACAAGTCATAAGAATAATCATAGATAGTGCAACTTTGTCCATTTTTATGGTATTATACTAATATTTGAATATTTGAGCTTTTTTTCATATTTTCAGTTTTTTCTTTCATTTTTTTTTTCTGGTTGAGTTAATTTAGTAATTCATCTCAACCTAATTTTGCCTGGGTAACTATATAAAAAAATAAGCTTATGTTTTTCATCTAATATTTATATTTCATTTAAGTCTTTTAAAAAAAGAATTTTTAATTGTTTTAGTATTAGTAAACAATAACACTGTAAGATATGTTGGTTTCTTATAAATGTTAGGGCTATACAATTCCGGATAAATGTAATAAACAATTAAATATTTTTTATTAATGTTTGATGATTTATTAAAAAAAAAGTTTGAATGAATGATTCACTTTTATGTACTTGAATTGTTTCATGAATGAATGATTCAATGACAACTACATTTTTTTTACCAGTCACTTGTCGCAACCTAGTGGTGTAGCGAGGTAATCAATTCAATCATTTTTTTGAAGTGGCACATTTTTAAAAGGTGATTTGCTCTATTTTTTTAAAGTCTTGTCCGTAGACATTAGTGTTTACATCCGAGCTATAAACTTTTATCCTAGAACTTCTGTGATAATATAAATATTTGTAACACAGTAATAACAATACTCTATGGTTGTAAAGAGAGTTGAAGCTGTTTCATGCTTATACATAATAACTGCTTTTTGTGGGTCAGCAGAGGGAGCACAAAAACAAATTTAAATGTTCCGGACACTTAATAGACACAGGCAAATTGTTGTCATTTAGGAATGAGATATCATGGGTGTTTGAACCGAGATTGCGACCTTTTAACAAAAAACTGTACTGCTCTAATATATATGTGTTTATTTATTTGTTTGTGTGAATAGAGGAGCCAGACATGGACTTACCATGAGTGCCAAACTGGCTCGGCTTGAGCAGCAGGAGCAGGAGTTCTTAAACAAGTATGGTAAGAAGAACCACACTGCTGAAACATCCACAAGCAGCACAGATCGTCTAAACCCTGTGGGACACTCAGATATTAAAGAGAAAACAAAACGCAAGAAATCAAAAAGGCAGGATGGACCCTCAGAGAATAATATCCATGAAGATGAGATGGAAACACAGGTCCTCGTTTCAAGTAATGACACCGAGGACAGCAAGCCCCAAAAGAGGAAAGACTCTAATGGTGTTTCTATGAACGATGATATTATCACAGATGTTGAGCCAAAGAAGAAGAGAAAGAAAAATCGCAAAGAAAAAGAAGCACCTGAGGATGGTCTCAATGGAGAATGCAGCGTAGACGTGAATGAAGTGTTCACACACGCATCAGAGGAACGAGAAGCACACCGGCCGATGGATGACAGCATTCACAAGAAGAAGAAAAAAAAGAAACGGTCCAAGGTAGTTGCTGAGACAGCTGGCACAGATGAGATCTTTGAGTATTCCACAGACGCACACGGCAAACAACCACAGGAGGGCAGTATTGAGCATCAACAAACCTCTGGCAATGTCTCGAAGAAGAAAAAGAAATCCGTCATGGACCTCTATGAAACCTCTCCATCCGCAGATGTGGAAAACTCAACTGGTGTGATGACAGCGACAGAGGACACTGGCAATGAAGCACAGATAACAGGAGGACAGGAGAACAAGAAGAGGAGCAAGAAAAGGAAACGAAACAAAAAGGAGCAGGAGGAGGTGGTAGAGAATGTTCAGTGTGAGGAGTCCACGCCAAAGAAAAAAAAGAGCAAAAAGTGATCGCAGAAACTCACTACAAACACAAGGGTGATGGCTGACGATCAGGATCTGTGCTGATGAAACAATTCTCAACTGTTAAGTTTCAGACTATTAGTTGAGACATGACAACATGCAAATGTGTTTGTTACACATCACTCATATTTATTCTTAGAAATCAACAGGTGACATGAAATAAGCTTTTTACTGGTAAGATTTGTTATTCATTTGTGTAATGCATATTACATAACATAAAAATGTGATTATATATGAATAGTTTTAAAAAGTGTGGCATGATCTGTGTGGATGAAAGATTTTTCTCAGTCGCTAAAGCTGAACTTTTTTTAATGGCGTGATGGGTGCAATAAGACGTAATTTTCTCAGATTTGTCAGTACCTTAAAATATTGCTAACAAATCAAACTGAACTGGGAAATAAAATGATTTCTGAGATAGTCGTATTTTGCATTGACTTCTGTTCATCTTGAGGGGTCACTGTGGTTGTATTGGGCTCGAAGGAAGGTTGGCCATGTTAAAACTTTCACTTCACAGATGAATCTGTTTTTCATGCTACACGTTTCTGATTTCCAGCTTCTCGGTGGGTTTTTGCTGGGCATTGACAAAACACAGTACCTGTATCCTACATAGGGAGAATTGATCCAGAATCTGAAAGGGAAATATGGAAAATGTCAGCTAATTGCTTTTTGAATTATTATTATTGGTATTTTTATGATTTATTCGAAGGAAGCCGTTTTGAAATAAATTAATGTGTTATTTACATTAATCCCGGCTTAAAACTGTAAAAATAATATTTTTATTCATTAATACTGTAAAAATAAATAATAATAATAATAAATTTAGTTAATAGTTCTTCTAAAATCTCTTCTTTTGCCTTTTTCTAAACTCACCCTTTCTCAAGCTGAGCGCCATTGGTCCAGACCCAAGTGTCTCCCTGTTTTTCAGAGAGTCCAATCCAGTACCCGTGATAAATATCATAATATGGTTCAGTGTGCTGATTGATGAATTCCTGAATATGAATAATACAATGAGAACATAAATACAATGCTGTAATCATTCCTATTTACATTCTTTTTCAGTGTAAACAGGACTGTTGATCACTGTGGTCTCATGATGCTAAACTTCTACATTTAAGAATTTAAACTTAATGCCTAATTTACATGTTTACAGTATATACTTGGGTGCACTTTTTAAGAAAAGACACTTTACAGTTCTTTGAAGAACTTTACAATTAATTTGTTAGCTGTAGACTGCTAACAAATGCAAAACTTGTCAAAAATCATAAAGTCTTGGAAAGAGAGAAAAAAATGTGAACATTCTTGTGTATTTCCATACTTTACTTTGTTTTATGTACCTGATCACCCACGCTGTCTATTATGGCCAGCTGAGCTCCATGTGTCCTGCAGTATTCTTGACTCTCTGCCCATGTATTCCAGTGGTTTCCTTTATGGAAATAGTAACAGCTGGAGCCATTTTGAATCCAGTTTTGAGGGCAGGATGTACACCAGACCCCTGTGATAGAGAATAGCTCAGATAAGCTGAATAAAACAAACAACAACAAAAAGAACATTACACTTAAGACTCCGGATTCAGTAAAACAGCTTACCATTCTCAGTGAACTGACAGTATTTATCCCCTGAAAAGCTGCTTTTATGAATTATGAAGTACAGTGTGTTGTTCATCTGTTGACCCTGTGTCACAAGCCTGGCCGTCTCTTGCTCCAGCACTTCCTTGTCTGCCAGTAACTGCAGGTTGGCAGCTTTCTCTTTAGTGTACTGGGCCTGTATGAAGAGATTTCCTTTGGTTAAGATATGCTTCTGGCTCTACATATTGTTTAGCAGATTTCTGAGTATTTCAATATTTTATGTTTTCAGGCTTTGCTCTTACCAGAATATTGTTGTGTTTAGACATGTGAATGTAGCCTGCAAAGCGGATAAACAAAAAAGGCAAACGGTTTGTAAAATCTACAGTATTTGCAGACAATTCTTCAACTGCAATGCAATGTTTCTATGATATTTTAGTCGTTGTGAGTTTAGACAGTAGCCAGATTGAATTACACCATTGGCTTATATTGACCTCATCAGTTAAGAAAGAATGAAATTATACAACTGATTTACAACAGTAGGACACAAGTGAGTTTCCGGTATTGTTACACTATGGCTTAACTTTCTTCTTTTTTTTTTTGACCCGAATTTGTATATTTTGTACTTTTCTCCTGGTTAAAGGTTCCCCTTTTCTACTTTTAGTTCTAGCTCTAAACAAATACTCTTATGGCGGTTTCACAAACCTGAATGAAAATTCTTTCAGTAATTAAACACCCCAACGCTTCCAACAGAGAAGGAAATGAGTAGTTTTTGTTTGTTTTTTGTGCACAAAAAGTGTTCTGTTGTCACTTGGACTATTTTAACAATGTCTGTGATTACTTTGATAACTAGAGGGGTGCTGGTGATGGTGCAGTGGATAAGACGCATGCCTTTGGTGTGAGAGATCCGGACTCAAATCCACTGTGAGAGACTAATGTGTCCCTGAGCAAGACACTTAACCCCTAGTTGCTCCAGAGGCGTGCGACCTCGATGAATGAAAATGAACGAAAGTCTTACAGGGTTGGAGCAACATGAGGGTGAGTAATTACTGACAGATTTTTCATTTTGGGGTGAACTAACCCTTTAAACCTAGTCCCGAACTAAACTGCATGTTTGAGCTGTTTTAACTGAAAGCAACTTAAAATATGTCAGTGCCACTGTTTTATCTCAAGTTGTACACACACCTATAATATTTTTTTCTAAGCCACTTAAATGCCCGAATTGACCTAAGGTCTAATCCTGGCTTAATCTAAGCCCTGTTTGTGAAACCAAACCTGTTAAGGTTTCAAGCTCTTTGAGCTTCCTTCCTCAGGGTTGGAACTAAACTCTTCAGAAATGTTGACATCCAAAAGTCAGATTAAATTGTGCTTAGTATTGTGTATATGAATGAAACAGTGCTAATGCTTACAGAAAATGCTGACAGCTGTTAACGCAGCGAGCAGGAGGAAACAGAGCAGCCCCAGAAACATTGAAGCTCGTCTGAAGATTGGGGTGGAAGCTTCTTTTTCTGAACCAGAATTAGACAAGTTTGAGTCCAAGAGTGTGAGCATATGACAGTACATTTTTTTTAAAATATGAATGTGAATATACTTCAGAGATATTTTACTCATGAATTTCTTGGGGTGCCAATAATATATAATTATAATGAGATTCCATATATATATATATACACTCACCGAAAGGATTATTAGGAACACCATATCAAAACTGTGTTTGACCTCTAACTGCCTTAATTCTAAGTGGCATTGATTTAACAAGGTCCTGAAAGCATTCTTTAGAAATGTTGGCCCATATTGATAGGATAGCATCTTGCAGTTGATGGAGATTTGTGGGATGCACACATCCCGTTCCACGGTTCCACCACATCCCAAATATGCTCTATAGGGGTGAGAGCTGGTGACTGTGGGGGCCATTTTAGTACAGTGAACTCATTGTCATGTTCAAGAAACCAATTTGAAATGATTCGAGCTTTGTGACATGGTGCATTATCCTGCTGGAAGTAGCCATCAGAGGATGGGTACATGGTGGACATCCCTCACACCATTACACCACCAGCAGCAGCCTGCACAGTGGTAACAAGGCATTATGGATCCATGTATTCATTCTGTTTACTCCAAATTCTGACTCTACCATCTGAATGTCTCAATAGAAATCGAGACTCATCAGACCAGACAACATTTTAGACAACAATTCTGACATTCAGTTTGGAGTTCAGGAGATTGTCTTTGCCTAAATGCATTGAAGCAACTGCCATGTGATTGATTGATTAGATCATTGCATTAATGAAAAATTGAACAGGTGTTCCTAATAATCCTTTAGGCGGTTGTATATTCACACACACACACACATATATATATATATAGTTGTGTAACTAAGAATATATTTTAGTTCACTTATTATAAATCTGTGATATACTGTATGTAACAGTTGATATCAATTTTGTAGACATATTTATACAAAATATATGCCTGAAGAGGCCAAAACACTTTGCTTTTTGTTGGGAGCATAAAGCAGTGTTGTGGAAATTATTTGTGATTGATCTCTTACCTGTAGTCTCAGTATGTGAAGTCGATTGTTTTCTGTTCACCTCTGCATAGAGGACAGACTCCTCTGACTGTCGCACTAATCAGACAAGCATTAATTCATTCATATTCTGATCATCCAAAAAGAGAACAACTACTTTTAAAAGTATTCCAGTAAACCGTGGAAAAATTGTTAACATAATGGTTAAATGGAAAAACAAATCATCATCAACAACAACAACAACAACTGAACATACCTTTAGATTTCTCTTTGTTAAATGGCTTGAAGGTAACTGTTGAATAGCATAACTCATCTTCCATTGCACCAGCTCACCTTCACAATCTGCAGAACACTGAATATGTCGGCCAGACTGCACAGAGAAGTTTTTGACGTTCAAAATTTGGAAATGGTGAAGTAATGGTGTGTAATATGATGTAAAGGGAAGTTGTGAAATTTCACTTTCACTATGCAAAAATGTGAGTTGTTTTCAGGAAGTACAAAATCCCTAACCAGACTTCATTCAATAAGAATTCAATAAGATGAAAAACAGCCAAATTGTTGAGATTCAAACATTTCAGTGGAAATCGGTTTCTGTCTTGGGCAAGACATTTAAATTTAAATGGCAATGGAATTTTGTCTGGTCATGTGAATTTTAGTGCTTATTCTTTTACTATTGAAAATTGTTTTTGTTTATAACTCAATGATGAATTATTTTACTTCTCAACTGTACCCATATGTGGTACAGTTGGGACAGTACCATGGTACAGTTGAGACACCCATTTTGAATTTATTTTTATGAGCTAATTGTGGAAAATATAAACTACTTATGGGTATTATTGATTGATAATATCTTAGTCTACAAGCTAATGAAATGTCAAGTGGCATGTCATGTGGAAATACACTTCAGTTCATTATCTATTTTTGTGTGATAAAACAAAGCGCAAAAAGACTGTAGAGTGTACGAAGTCTACCCCTATACAACTTTTCTTCAAAAATATATATTTTTTTTTATTGCCTGTGTTTGAAGGGGTTGTAATCACACATTACAATGATCCACTTGTCGGTTTTTGATATTACCTCTGAAGGTCAGTATTCATATTTCAGGTCGGGTTTTTTGCGGAAGATAGCAAATAGATTTTCACACTGATAGCAAAAAATATATATGAGATTTTTTTTTTTAAATTGAGAGATTTTTTATTTTAAAATTATATTTATATATGTTCTATGAGAAAACACTTTCAACTTTTTTAGTTTAAAATATTATTTTTTGCTATATTAGTATGATAACTTTTTCTCTCAAACATTTTTTTTCTCTCAGATCATATATTTTCTCGCATGTAATAAAGACAATCCTAGCTCCACGAGGCCCCTAAATGCTACGTGGGATCTCAATATCTCAGCTCAGGAAGGGCCATGAGACTTAGACATGAGTGCAAAAATGGAGGCTCTAGACCCTTCCTGAGCTGAGATATTGAGATCCCACGTAGCATTCATGCCATTATAAATATCTCAATATCTCAGCTCTGGAAGGGTCTAGAGCCTCCATTTTTGCACTCACGTCGAAGTCCCATGGTCCTCTATCAGAATCCAGAGTTTCAAGAAGATTGGAGAAACTTATTTTTTCGCACCAAAAAAAAAAAAAAAAAAACTACAGTGGTACCCCTAGACAGTAGACAGTATAGTACAGTTGTGATTTTGCTGTAAACACGTTTTATTATTTATAGCTAGTTAACAGGGGAGCTCCAGTAAGTACACGTAACGTTATGTTTCTAAAGTGGATTTACATAACAGTACACCTTTATTGAAAATGTCTTTTACATCATGAAGGAAAATATTGTATAAGTATTGGAGATGAGCACATCCTTATACGCAAATGAATTTTTCATGTTGTGATGTCACATCACAATATGAAAAATTCATCTCAGTGTAAGGTTATGTGTGCTGTGCTATTATGTAGGATAATTCACTGTTGTCAACACTGTTAACATTAGATAAATGTGCTGTAAATAAGGCAAATAAACAAATCTATAAAGTAACTAAACATGATATATGTTTAATTTGTCCCTTATTAGTGTTGATTTAATGAGGAACATTTAAGTTGGATTAAAAGTGAGTTAACACATCAACCTCAGCATGTAAATGCAGTGTTGAGCTCGTAATGTGAATCTTGTATGTATGTTACAGGGACAGGAGAACACACGCGTGTTTATCCAGTGGAGAGAGGCTCATGATGCTGAATCATGTCATCAAAGGATTTGAGTGAGTGTACTACAGAAATGGATAACAACATCTATTAAATCCTAAGTTGTAGTTTATTTGAATGATTGTAATTTCAAATGGAGAAATTACAGCACTTTTCTGATTCCTGATTTCTGTGCATTTGCTGCAGAGTGCAGAGCTTTTGTGCTGGAGCAGGACCTGCAAGGAAAGATGGTGGCAGCATTTGTTGGGGAAAAAAAGGTTTTAGGGAATTTATTCAAATATAAAGTAAGGTTATTTTTAATACATCAATCAAATGACATTGTGCTGTTAAATGACTGCTTTTGTGTAATGTTTGTGCATTTTTGTAGGATCTGAAATGTCTGCAGACTGGTGTGACCACTGAGGATGAAGAGCCCAGAGCTGAATCCTGGAAGTGGTCCCATGGATGAGACCCTCCATCTCTCCATCTGCCCTTATGAGTCCCTCCATCTGTCCACCTGCCCTTACGAGAACCTCCATCGCTCCATCTGCCCTTATTGCCTCAGATTGTTCAGCGCTTGCAGTAGGATGTGGTGTTCAGCGGCTGTAAATACATGCTTGTACTTTGAATAAAGCTTTGTTTCATGTGTTGTTGACTTGTATATGCATTCAGCTGGGGCCCCTGAGTCCGTAGCACGAAGCTCCATCCCATAATTCCACCATCCACGGACCCACTATTTTTATAATGGCATAAATGCTGTGTGGGATCTCAATATCTCAGCTCTGGAAGGGTCTAGAGCCTCCATTTTTGCGCTCATATCTGTCCCATGGCCCTCTATCAGAATCCAGAGTTTCAAGAAGATTGGAGAAACTTATTTTTTCGCACCAAAAAAACACCCGACAGGGGTACCACTGTCGTTTTTTTTTTGGGGTCGAAATTTGAGTTTCTCTGATCTTCTTGAAACTCTGGATTCTGATAGAGGGCCATTGGACTTAGACCTGAGTGAAAAAATGGAGGCTCTAGACCCTTCCAGAGCTGAGATATTGAGATATTTATAATGGCATAAATGCTACGTGGGATCTCAATATCTCAGCTCTGGAAGGGTCTAGAGCCTCCATTTTTTGCACTCAGGTCTAAGTCCCATGGCCCTCTATCAGAATCCAGAGTTTCAAGAAGATTGGAGAAACTTATTTTTTCGCACCAAAAAAAAAAAAAAAAAACGACAGGGGTAACACTGTCGTTTTTTTTTTGGGTCGAAATTTTGAGTTTCTCTGATCTTCTTAAAACTCTGGATTCTGATCGAGGGCCATGGGACTTAGACATGAGTGCAAAAATGGAGGCTCTAGACCCTTCCAGAGCTGAGATATTTATAATGGCATAAATGCTACGTGGGATCTCAATATCTCAGCTCTGGAAGGGTCTAGAGCCTCCATTTTTGCACTCATGTCTAAGTCCCATGGCCCTCTATCAGAATCCAGAATTTCAAGAAGATTGGAGAAACTTATTTTTTCGCACCAAAAAAAAAAAAACGACAGGGGTACCACTGTCGTTTTTTTTTTTTTTGTGTCGAAATTTTGAGTTTCTCTGATCTTCTTGAAACTCTGGATTCTGATAGAGGGCCATGGGACTTAGACATGAGTGCAAAAATGGAGGCTCTAGACCCTTCCAGTTTCAAGAAGATTGGAGAAACTTATTTTTTCGCACCAAAAAAAAAAAAAAAAAACGACAGGGGTACCACTGTCGTTTTTTTTTTTTGTGTCGAAATTTTGAGTTTCTCTGATCTTCTTGAAACTCTGGATTCTGATAGAGGGCCATGGGACTTAGACATGAGTGCAAAAATGGAGGCTCTACACCCTTCCAGAGCTGAGATATTGAGATCCCACGTAGCATTTATGCCATTATAAATATCTCAATATCTCAGCTCTGGAAGGGTCTAGAGCCTCCATTTTTGCACTCATGTCTAAGTCCCATGGCCCTCTATCAGAATCCAGAGTTTCAAGAAGATTGGAGAAACTTATTTTTTCGCACCAAAAAAAAAAAACGACGGGGGTAACACTGTCGTTTTTTTTTTTTGGGTCGAAATTTTGAGTTTCTCTGATCTTCTTGAAACTCTGGATTCTGATCGAGGGCCATGGGACTTAGACATGAGTGCAAAAATGGAGGCTCTAGACCCTTCCAGAGCTGAGATATTGAGATCCCACGTAGCATTTATGCCATTATAAATATCTCAATATCTCAGCTCTGGAAGGGTCTAGAGCCTCCATTGTTGCATTCACGTCTATGTCTCATGGCCCTCTATCAGAATCCAGAGTTTTGAGAAGATTGGGGATACTTAATTTTTCGCCCAAAAAAAAAACGTAAGGGGTAACACTGTCGTTTTTTTTTCTGGTCGAAATTTTGAATTTCGATATCTCAGCTCTGGAAGGGTCTAGAGCCTCCATTGTTGCACTCAGGTCTAAGTCTCATGGCCCTCTATCAGAATCCAGAGTTTTGAGAAGATTGCGGATACTTAATTTTTCGCCCAAAAAAAAAAAACCTAAGGGGTAACACTGTCGTTTTTTTTTCGGGTCGAAATTTTGAATTTCGATATCTCAGCTCTGGAAGGGTCTAGAGCCTCCATTGTTGCACTCAGGTCTAAGTCTCATGGCCCTCTATCAGAATCCAGAGTTTTGAGAAGATTGGGGATACTTAATTTTCTCACCCAAAAAAAAAAAACGTAAGGGGTAACACTGTCGTTTTTTTTTTTTTCGGGTCGAAATTTTGAGTTTCGATATCTCAGCACTGGAAGGGTCTAGAGCCTCCATTGTTGCACTCAGGTCTAAGTCTCATGGCCCTCTATCAGAATCCAGAGTTTTGAGAAGATTGGGGATACTTAATTTTTCGCCCACCAAAAAAAACGTAAGGGGTAACACTGTCGTTTTTTTTTTCGGGTCGAAATTTTGAGTTTCGATATCTCAGCACTGGAAGGGTCTAGAGCCTCCATTGTTGCACTCAGGTCTGTCTCATGGCCCTCTATCAGAATCCAGAGTTTTGAGAAGATTGGGGATACTTAATTTTTCGCCCAAAAAAAAAAACGTAAGGGGTAACACTGTCGTTTTTTTTTTCTGGTCAAAATTTTGAGTTTCGATATCTCAGCTCTGGAAGGGTCTAGAGCTCCCATTGTTGCACTCAGGTCTATGTCTCATGGCCCTCTATCAGAATCCAGAGTTTTGAGAAGATTGGGGATACTTAATTTTTCGCCCTAAAAAAAAAAAACGTAAGGGGTAACACTGTCGTTTTTTTTTTCGGGTCGAAATTTTTGAGTTTCGATATCTCAGCACTGGAAGGGTCTAGAGCCTCCATTGTTGCACTCAGGTCTATGTCTCATGGCCCTCTATCAGAATCCAGAGTTTGAGAAGATTGGGATACTTAATTTTTCGCCCACCAAAAAAAACGTAAGGGGTAACACTGTCGTTTTTTTTTTTCGGGTCGAAATTTTGAGTTTCGATATCTCAGCATTGGAAGGGTCTAGAGCCTCCATTGTTGCACTCAGGTCTATGTCTCATGGCCCTCTATCAGAATCCAGAGTTTTGAGAAGATTGGGATACTTAATTTTTTCGCCAAAAAAAAAAACGTAAGGGGTAACACTGTCGTTTTTTTTTTCTGGTCAAAATTTTGAGTTTCGATATCTCAGCTCTGGAAGGGTCTAGAGCCTCCATTGTTGCACTCAGCTCTATGTCTCATGGCCCTCTATCAGAATCCAGAGTTTTGAGAAGATTGGGGATACTTAATTTTTCGCCCAAAAAAAAAAAAAAACGTAAGGGGTAACACTGTCGTTTTTTTTTTCGGGTCGAAATTTTGAGTTTCGATATCTCAGCACTGGAAGGGTCTAAGGCCTCCATTGTTGCACTCAGGTCTATGTCTCATGGCCCTCTATCAGAATCCAGAGTTTTGAGAAGATTGGGGATACTTAATTTTTCGCCCCCCAAAAAAAACGTAAGGGGTAACACTGTCGTTTTTTTTTCGGGTCGAAATTTTGAGTTTCGATATCTCAGCTCTGGAAGGGTCTAGAGCTTCCATTGTTGCACTCAGGTCTATGTCTCATGGCCCTCTATCAGAATCCATAGTTTTGAGAAGATTGGGGATACTTAATTTTTCGCCCAAAAAAAAAAACGTAAGGGGTAACACTGTCGTTTTTTTTTCGGGTCGAAATTTTGAGTTTCGATATCTCAGCTCTGGAAGGGTCTAGAGCCTCCATTGTTGCACTCAGGTCTAAGTCTCATGGCCCTCTATCAGAATCCAGAGTTTTGAGAAGATTGGGGATACTTAATTTTTCGCCCCCCCAAAAAAAAACGTAAGGGGTAACACTGTCGTTTTTTTTTCGGGTCGAAATTTTGAGTTTCGATATCTCAGCTTTGGAAGGGTCTAGAGCCTCCATTGTTGCACTCAGGTCTAAGTCTCATGGCCCTCTATCAGAATCCAGAGTTTTGGAAGATTGGGATACTTAATTTTTTCGCCCAAAAAAAAACCGTAAGGGGTAACACTGTCGTTTTTTTTTTTCTGGTCGAAATTTTGAGTTTCGATATCTCAGCTCTGGAAGGGTCTAGAGCTCCATTGTTGCACTCAGGTCTATGTCTCATGGCCCTCTATCAGAATCCAGAGTTTTGAGAAGATTGGGGATACTTAATTTTTCGCCCAAAAAAAAAAAAAAAAACGTAAGGGGTAACACTGTCGTTTTTTTTTTCGGGTCGAAATTTTGAGTTTCGATATCTCAGCACTGGAAGGTCTAGAGGCCTCCATTGTTGCACTCAGGTCTATGTCTCATGGCCCTCTATCAGAATCCAGAGTTTGAGAAGATTGGGGATACTTAATTTTTCGCCCCCCAAAAAAAACGTAAGGGGTAACACTGTCGTTTTTTTTTCGGGTCGAAATTTTGAGTTTCGATATCTCAGCTCTGGAAGGGTCTAGAGCTTCCATTGTTGCACTCAGGTCTATGTCTCATGGCCCTCTATCAGAATCCATAGTTTTGAGAAGATTGGGGATACTTAATTTTTCGCCCCCCAAAAAAAACGTAAGGGGTAACACTGTCGTTTTTTTTTCGGGTCGAAATTTTGAGTTTCGATATCTCAGCTCTGGAAGGGTCTAGAGCCTCCATTGTTGCACTCAGGTCTATGTCTCATGGCCCTCTATCAGAATCCAGAGTTTTGAGAAGATTGGGGATACTTAATTTTTCGCCCCCCAAAAAAAACGTAAGGGGTAACACTGTCGTTTTTTTTCGGGTCGAAATTTTGAGTTTCGATATCTCAGCTCTGGAAGGGTCTAGAGCTTCCATTGTTGCACTCAGGTCTAAGTCTCATGGCCCTCTATCAGAATCCATAGTTTTGAGAAGATTGGGGATACTTAATTTTTTCGCCCCTCCAAAAAAACGTAAGGGGTAACACTGTCGTTTTTTTTTTCGGGTCGAAATTTTTGAGTTTCGATATCTCAGCTCTGGAAGGGTCTAGAGCCTCCATTGTTGCACTCAGGTCTAAGTCTCATGGCCCTCTATCAGAATCCAGAGTTTTGAGAAGATTGGGGATACTTAATTTTTCGCCCAAAAAAAAAAACGTAAGGGGTAACACTGTCGTTTTTTTTCTGGTCAAAATTTTGAGTTTCGATATCTCAGCTCTGGAAGGGTCTAGAGCTTCC